TCGTGCATATTTCAGTTTGACATTTGCAACCCAAAATCAGCCTGAGTGATTAATCTTCATTCTGAATTCCAGAGCTTTACTGACTCTCCATTTCAGGATATTTGGGTGGACTTGCTTGTCTCAGTGAGCTTTTTCAGAAGCTGCAGGTTGATGAAGAGGTAGTGCAAGGACTAACCAAGAAATATCATTGTTTACCAAAAAGCAAGTCCTTTCGTCATAAGAAATATATTTAAAAAATAATCATCTTAACAGAATCATATCTTTTAAAACACGCTGTTCCTTGAACTGCTGGAACAAGAATAGGTTGCTTTCTAGTTTAATCACAGGAAAAGATTTCAGCATACGTTATAGACATTAGCCAAAATGATAAAAGAGGTGCCAGTATCACCAAAGCTATATCCAGTGTGAAATTTGAATAAACTAATGTCATTCTTGACGGCTCTCCAGGGTTGGCTGCTTTCATAGGATTCCTGCTACTTTGCCAGTAAAAAGCACCAAATGCCAGCAATATCCAGAGAACCTGTGGCCTTCCAGATGTTACTAAACTATCACTATATTGCTCACAATTGGACATGTCAGCTGGAGCTGCTGATATTATAGTTCAAGAACTTCTGGAGAACCATAGGCCTCTCTATCCCCAGTCTGCCACACATATACACCCAAATGGGTCAACTGGAAAAACAGTGTAAACTTTAAAATGTGTTAATTTCTTGATTCTAAAATGTGGAGTTGTCCAGAAATAATAAAACCTTATTGAAGGGAGAAGCACATTCATGCAGTGGAGGAAAGGGCTTTGCAGAATTACAAATAATCACAAATAAGATGGAGAGAGAGAGCAGGAATTGTACTCCTTAATAATTAGCTACTTGCTAAACAAATGTGCTTCCTCTCCCAACCTTTAGCTGCCTCTTCCAAATTGGCAGCACACAATTTTTATTGCTAGCTAATTTGGTTTAGGAGACAGGACTGCCAGAGCAGTTGAGGAAAGATGCTAAAAGCCTTGAGGTGGCACTAACCTCCATATTAATATGGGCTACTGTGAGCTCTGCATTGTTGAGCCATGCCATTTAACTTATTTAAAATAGCTTTAAGAGGTCTTCCCATTACAGTCCTTCCCAAATTTGCTTATATTGCAAAGCAACAATAAGCATCAACATTAATCAAAGCTAAGATTAATAAAACAGCCCAAAAAATACATTTTGGGAAATGGACATAGAAAACAAATGAACCTTTAGGACTTTCTTAAATATTGGTAGTGCTGTGCTTGATGAACCATAGTCATGTGAGACATAGATCTTTCCTAATTCCTCACAGCCCCTTTTCTATAGCTTCTTCCTTACACTGGATCAAAATCTTTTTCTGCCCAAAGGATACCAAGCCAGGTATCCCCTATTTTCTCCTTAATTTCATTTTGTTATTTTCAGCGGGTGGGTGGATGGAATGGATCCACCCGCCTACCCACAGTGTTATGAGCTTTTGTCATGTATGCCCATGCATGCAGAAAAGAAGATCTTCTTTACAACAGAGACCTCAGGAGAAAGAAATTGTTGGAAAAGTATTTACGTAGCAACACATTCTTCCTCCTATCCTTCAGCGCTGTTTTTTGTTGCCTTGCTGTATTTGCTTCCAGAGACTGCCAGAAATGCTGGTTGCGTTAAACACACAGGGGAGAAAAGAATATGCCTATCCCCAAGGTGTGAGAGCCAAGAAGAAACAAAGAAGATCAAATGGGATTCAGTGCGATAAACCAAATGTAGTTCACTTCCCAGAAAGTTTGTTGACCAAATGTTTCAGTTGTGCCTTCTCAGCTACTTTCTTTGATGGCCTAAGCAAAAGTAAATCAATCTGACAGCATTAGTCCTGCCTGTCGGGAGCCCATTGGGATGGCTTCTTTGATTTCACGCATTTGGTGCAAATTACATTCAACTTGCAAAATTAAATTAAATGCAAAATTATTTAATGGGGCCATGCGTTAACATTAGTTCTAGGGAAAAATACATGGCATCAGTGTGATCTAATACCCCATCAAGCTTTCTTCTATGACACTTCTCTCCTGAAATGTCTCCTACCCTTATGGAGCATCCATACTATGCGAATTACTGTTTCGCAAGCCAACTTTGCTATTTGCCATTAAAACAATTACGTAAGGTGTTAGAGATTGAGGCCTTTTCAGTGGACCTCCTCCTATGTTTCCGGATAAAAAGTAACCGTTCTCTAAGGGTAGACCATGCAAATTTAGTTTTCCGTTTCCAAGAAAGCTTTCTTCTGCCTTCATTCCAAAGAACTAAGCTGGCATAAAATGCAGCGTCATGCTACCTAACAGGATCTCTGAGTCAAGATACTTTGATGCTCATTTTGCTCCCTTTTAGCTTACATTCACGGATAACAAGGCATCCAAAACTTCTCCCTCACAAACACAAGAGTCCTGCTGGATCAGGCAACAGGCCCATCTAATGCAGCATATTGCATCTACAGTGACCAACTGAATGCATTTGGGAAGTTCATCAACCCAGATTGAGGATGATAGATAAATGCCATTGTTGCTTCCCAGCAACCAGTATTTGGGGCGGCAATAAGCAACTGTCAAAATTTGGAGCCAGTGGTATTCTGATCTTCCATTAAATCTTTCCCGTCCTTTTTTAAAATCATCCAAATTGGCTGTCATCACCACAGCTGTTGGCAGCAAATTCCACAGTTTAACTATGCATTGTATTTAAAAACTTTTCCTTCTATCAGTCCTGAACCTCCCTCCTGAGCCAGATGATTGAAAAAATATAGTTATTGCCTATCTAAGCAACCTCTGGAGAGAGAGAACTTCTGAGGAGATCAGGTTAATATTCTACATTTGGCTGGTTGTAAGATAACCACATGAGCCTTTGTTCACATTCTCATCAAACTTTGTTAGATAAAGTGTTGAGATAAAGTGTTGTTGAGAATTCTGAATCATTTGGCATGTATCTTCCTGCCCTCTGCGACTGCTGTTTTGGTTAGTAAGAAATACTCTTCCTCCCCAGGGGAAAGAAAGAAATTATCTTACCCTAAAGTTCCCTCTCTCTCGAGGATATTTCCCCATGCTTCTATTTGCTGTTCAGTCATAATCAAACTTTAAAATTAGACCTTTAGGTTTTTAGTTGATTCAGTAAGAGTGTTAGTATTTAAATACTTTTTAAAATGTTAACCATAATAAGTCCTGTAATTAATAGCACTTGTCTGGGCTTGGAAGCTAAGCAGAGTCAGGTGTGGTTAGTACCTGAAGGGAGACATTCAGGAGATACTAGGGCTATAGGCTAGACCGGGAAGTTCAAAAAACACCCTGGAAGAAAGCAGAGGCAAATAGATGGATGTGTTCATGAAATTACCAGGAGTTATGTTCCTGCTGAAGGAGGTTTTATCTTTTGTTTCTTGACTGCAGCATAGTAAAATACTAAGTAAGTAAACATATGATAGTAAAATACTGCTAAAGTCAACTTGCTGTAAAAAAAAATCTACCACATGATGTATGTATACTAAAAATAAAACTCTATTAATAAAATTGGTTTCAAAATACCAATAATGTCAATGGTCCCAACACTATTCAGGGGATTCATGGCTGAGCAAGGGACTTCAAATTAGGCTACATTGGTCCAACTTCATCTGTATTTCATCCATTTTACCCAGGCTTGGATATATTGTTTAAATGTTACAGCAGTACCATGGATAAATCCAAAGATGGGCAACTTCTCTGCTGCTTGGGCAATATAAAATAGTGGTTTGCAGTGTTTGCCTGTGTTATCTCCCATACTACAGTTGTTTCTTGTGTTTATACATGTGTGCATGTGTGCACGCACACACACACGTTTATACTTTCAATAATTATACTCAAAGTTTAATGGTGATTTAGGCCTATGTTAACATAGGACTTAGTATTGACTCCATTCTGAGAGAGCTGAATAAACCCAACGTCTTGCTCATACTCATCCAAATCTTAAGCTCCTTTGCAGAACATTTGTTTGAATCTGAGCTGGTTTATTCAAGTATAAGAAAGTAGGTTCATCCCCAAGGTAATTTTATGACTTCCAACTTGTCCACTGATATCAGAAATTTTGGAATTGGACAAAACAACATTGGTCTTTATTAAAAGGCTGGCTTTCAGTGATCTGAGAATCCCAAAGTTGAGACTTTGTTCTTAGTCTGTGTGTCATCTCATCAACCTCTAAGCCACAGTCCAAAGATACTGTTTCTTACCTGTCTGTAATTTATATTTGTTCTGAAATCACATTTGCAAGTCAGGGAAATAATATATAACTAGCTAGGTTAGGCTGACTTTATAGTTTGTGAGTGTGGTTGTTGTCCTTTCTTCTTGTTTTTCCCATCACAGTCCTGAACAGTTGTTTTTCAAATATAGATTTTTTTTTGTTTAATATATGATGATTTATTCATTTCATAATGAAATAATGGAATATTTCTGACAGAATCTTTTTGAATACTTCCTTCACACATTCAGCTCCAGTTCACATGGAAATTAAACAAAAACACAATAACAAATAGCTTGAACAAACTAAAGATAGCCTCTAAAAAATCACCCCAATTTATGCATGTCAGTGAAATAAAAACCAGATATTAGTAAATCATAAGTCTTTTATATCAAGTATGAAAGTGAAAACATCATGCAAACTGGTTTGAAACCCTGTTTTTTTTTAATGCTAACAAATATATATTCGCTGCTGTACAGCAATAATTAAAGAGATCCCTTTTAAGTACTATTTTTCTGCTATATTTATTGTTTTAAAAAATAGCTAATGCTAATAAAAGCTACCCTTGGATTTTCTCTTCCCACTCCCTTTCTTTCTGAATGCCAATTTTGGGAGCCTGCCAAGTCTGCTGAGAGATGACTGTATAATATTTAACTGGGCTATAAGCCCAAAGGGAATCCAAGACTAGAAGATTGACAGATGCAGCATGCATGATCATTGCTTTAAACACAGCCCAGTTGATATTTCTGTTTTTTTCATACGTTGCAGGTGCTAAAGAAATTGATATTGCTGCTACTCTGGAGCATTTGAGAGATCAGAGACCTGGAATGGTCCAGACAAAGGTACAGTCAATGAAGCCACTTAGATTTTAAATACTAATATGCCAGTTCTAAATATTGCTATTTGGGGATAAGCATCACTGAATTATACATGGCTAGACTTGTGTAGTTTTTTTATAATGCAAATGAAACCATTGTTGGTTTTGGTAAAATTCTTATTGTTGTTAATGTGGAACCAAATCCATCTTTAGATTAGTAAATAAAACAGATGCCTAAAACAAATCTTCATGAATAGATTTATTTCTCTCAAACATATTCAAAAATGTCCCCATAAGCTATATTGGAAAAGGATCATTGATCAAGAATATTTAGTAAAAGTTTGAAGAAAGGACTAGTACATGAGATACACTAGAGTAGGTCAGAGAAATGTATATTCCAATTTTAAAAATAAACATCCATAAAATCACCAAAAATACGAAGCCATAGGAGCAGCACAGGATCATGGATTCTAGAACTTTTATTGTACAGACTGTTCAAATCAAAATAGACTCTCATAGTTTGAATTTACTGTGCTTAATCTCACCTGGTGATTTATACTGTGTTGACCATGGTTCTGGATATTGGACTAATAGGAATTTTACCAGACTATAATAATTAAATAAATTATACTAAAAGTATAGAAATAATTTACTAAAATGCAGCTATAGTTTTCAGTTACTTTCATTTTTCCTGCCTATAGAAATCATTTCCAAGACTAACAATAATGGAAAATTAATGCAACTTTTTAAAAAAATGTTGTATCACTACTAGGTTTTCATTTTTAGAGACAGAATATATTCATGATATGAATATGAAGCATTTATAGGCAGTTCACTAAGAAAAAGTGTTGGGTAGAATCTATCCTCCATCTCACCTTCCTTTCCACTCAGTTATTTCACATATAGGAAGAAAATAGTGATAGTTACAAATCTAGTTTCTTATAGATTGTTTTTGAACAAAGTAACTGGCTTCCTAATTCTTCTACAATGACACATGCAATTAAATGAATTATACCTTCCAAAGTATCAGGTCCTCTTTAAAATAAATTAGTTTTCACAATTTGATTCTTATCTTCTCCAAACCTTTAGTTAATATTTAAGGCCAAATGTGTTCCCACCAGAACAGACAATTCTAAACACACACTTTCCCTCCCATGCAGAAAAAAATACAAGAAAATTTATTTTTTTCTCCCACTTCTTTTCATTCTCCTTAGCCCAGTGCTGCAGCAGAAAGTTCACTGCTCTTTTTATTTGCTTTGTTTGCCTTTTTTCCCAGCTTCTTCTCTCTCTTACTTGCCTCTGGAGTCCTGTAGAGAAAAATAATAAATAATAATTATGATAATATATATTTGTGTATTAATAAATTAGGTATTATATTTTTAGGGATAATCATTTTCCCATATAGCGTACAAGCAGTATAAATAATTGTACACAAAAATACAATAGACAGAAACCAAGCAGGTTCTAGGATCTTCTCATAAGGCAGCTAGCAATAATGGCATGGGGCAAGCATAGAATCCAGGAAATGGCAGTCTCAGGAGCTTTCTAGCCTCTTAGCTAGTGTCAGAAAGGGAAAGAACATATCCCTTTTCTATTTGCCCAAAAACAAATGATTTGGATAGAGAGCCCAATCTCAAATTGGAACAAATTTGGTTGGTGTTTAGTTAAACAACCCATCTCTCATTGTGGCTGATAATTACATTTAAAAAAAAAAAAAGGAGCCTCTTTCCTTCCTAAACAGGCCAGCTATGTTGGTTGGGAGTAGGAATGATGGGGTAAGATCTAGCCCAATCCCATCCAGAATGCAAGGGAATGTCTTTTTTTCTTTTAGACAAATACCCATTCCTTAGTGACATTCAGCAAAGTTGGTTGCAAATGCATGCTGTTACCACCAGCTGTATCTCCAAGAATGTCTCTGGGGAATGAATGATGTTCAGGAGAGGCTACAACAAGCTCAGCAGGTGCATTGCGGAACATGTCTCTCCTGCTGAATTGCAGCTTTTCTCTTTCCAGACTTCTGCAAGCTCCAAATGGCAAGTTCTTGTGCCCAAACAATTAGGCAGTGGTGGGTGACAGAGGATGGTCAGGTTCCTTTCTAATCCAGTCCTGAAATGAACACCATCCACTACTACTCCCTCCCTAATCCTGATGTATTGCCTCATTATGGGGAGTGGGGATGGTTGCTCCTGGGAAGGGTGAGTGAAGAACGCTGGGAGTGCATGCCAAGACTATATAATCCCATCAGCGTCACCCAAGGCATGAAGGTCATCCCAGCTAAAGCAAGCAGGCACCTATATTGCAGCAGCAATATAGGAAGATGCTGGAGGCAGATGATCACTTCAGTGACAGCGGCAAAGGCATCATTTCATGGCATTGGCAAACCACTCTTCTATTTTACCAAGAAAACCATGTGGATAGAAAATATTAAATGTTTGACAATATAGTGCCAGATGATGAGCCTCGCAAGTCAGGTGGCACTAAACATATTTCTGAGGAAGAACTGAGGACCTTTAAGAGTACTAATGGTTTTTATGTCACAGCTAGATTAAAGCCTTTGGGGTATCTAGTTGCTGATGTTCCCATCAGCTGCATATTGACATTTTAGGCAGCAGCAAATTGAGATGGACTGGAATTGAGCATTTTCAGTGAGAAGATCATGTTGTTTACTACTCTGGACATGAAAAACAAAGAAGGAATGGAGTTGCATTCATAGTTAGGAAGGATATAGCAAGAACAATACTGGACTACAGTGCAATCACTGACAGCATAATATCAACTAGGCTTAGTGGACAGTCTTTTAATATGATTATCTAGGTTTATTGCTCCAACCACTAATGCAGAAGAAGAGGAGGTTGATGAGCTTTATGGTCAAGTTCAATCGGAAATCTGCTGAACATGCAAGCAAGATGTGCTGCTTTTGATTGGAAACAGGAATGCCAAGCCTGGAAATATTAAGGAAGAAAATGTGCTTGGCCTGTATGGTCTAGGAAACCAAAATGAAACAGGAAAAGGACTTATCAATTCCTGCCAACCCTATGATTTTTTAATTGCTAACGCATTCTCCCAACAACCCAAATGGCACTTATATACATGGACGTCACCAAACAGAATACACAAAAATCAGATTGACTATATTATTGGTACAAGATAAAAGAAAAGACCTGTTATAACAGCCAAAACGAAACCAAGGGCTGATTGTGAAATACATAATAAACTGCTCATGTGCAAACTCCAAGATAAGCTAAAGAAGAAAAGAAAGCCAACCAGTTTCACAATATGATCTTGAGCATGTACCCACCATTTTCAAGGAGAACATAGGGAATCGCTTTGACATCCTGAACTGCATGGAACCAGAGGAATTGTGGAATGAACTAAAAGAAGTTGCTAAAGATGAATATGAAAAGAGACTGCCAAAGATCAAGAATCAGATGAAAGCAATCTGAATGTCAGAACAACTGTGGAAATTGCCAAGAAGAAAAGAGAAACCAAAGACAAAGACATTAGGAAGGAACTTAACAAAGAATTTCTGAGAGCTGTTAAAAGTGACAAGCAGTATTACAACAACATCTGTAAAAACATTGAAGATGGAAATAGACAAGGAAAAACAAGTCTTCCAAAAAGTCTCAAAAGGAGGTTCCACCCTCAAATTGGTATGCTAAAGGACACCAATGGACAGATAGTAACTGATTCAAAGGAGATCAAATGAAGATGGAAGGAGTATACTGAAACATTGTACAGTAGAGTTGTCAACATCCAAGGTATCTTAAAAAATATTCCCTACTTATAAGAAGCTCTAGTACTGGAAAATGTAGTTAGAACAGCATTCTGCTCATTACCAAATTGGAAGGCTACAGACAAAAATTGATTGAATATCTACAGAAATAAGGCAAGCAACAGAAGTAGTAGTAAAGGTTCAAACCAAGCTGTGCCAGCAAATCTGGAAAATAACATGGAGAAAAAAGGCTAATCTACATATTAATACCAAAGAAAGGAGACTTAACAGTATGTGAAAACTATCATACAATATCCTTAATTTCACACCCAAGCAAAATAATGCTTATGATCATCCAATGCAGATTAGAGCCCTACATGGAGAGGAAGATGCCAGATGTTCAAACTGGCTTTAGAAAAGGCCATGGAACATGAGACATTACTGATGCATGCTGGATAACTGAGAAAGCCAATGAATACCAAAAAGAAGTCACTGTGTGCTTCCTTGATTACAGAAAGGCCTTTGATTATGTCAGTCATGTCAAGCTGTGGAATCTGCTTAGAAAAATGGGAATCCCAGAACTTCTCATTGTCCTCATGAGAAACCTATACATGGGTTAAAAAGCTACAGCGCTGGCAGAACATGGTGAAACAAACTGGCTCCAAGTGAACAGAGGCTGTATTCTCTCCCCTTATTTATTCAACTTTATGTAGAATATATATTGAAGGAAGCTGGATTGGAAGAATATGAGCATGGTTTCAAAAATGGAGGAAGAAATACCAACAACCTGTGCTATGCTGATGACACTACTCTGATAATTGAAAATGCAAATTACCTGCAAGCTCTAGTAATGAAAGTCAAGGGGCAAAGTGAAAAAATGTGTCTAAGATTAAATATAAAGAAGGCCAGACTAAGGGCAACAAGTATAGCAACCAGCCTTAGAGTTAACAGTGAAGATACTGAAGTGGTGAGTAGCTTCTGCCTTTTAAGATCAATTATCAACAGTAAAGGAACCAACAATTAAGAAATACACCACAAACTAGCACTTGGTAGAGGAGCCATGAAGTCCTTTCAAAAGGTATTCAGGTGCCAGGATGTATCCATACTTACAAAATGGGAATCCTGCATGCAATGGTTTTCCCTATGACAGTCTATTGAAGTTAAAGTTGGATTTTCAAGGAGCATAGAAAAAGTATTGATGCTTTTGAACATTGATGTTGGAGAAAACTCTTGAGAATACCATGGATAGCCAAGAAAACAAGCAAATGGATCATCAAATAAATCAACTCAGAGTTCTCACTCAAGGCACAAATGGCCAGGCTCAAACACATTATGCACAGAGCTAGTCCTCTGGAGAAGTCTGTAATGCTGGGAAAGGTGGAAGGAAAGAGAAGAAGAGAACAACCAGCAGCAAGGTGGATGGACTTAATTGTAGTGGCAGTGGGTACACAGCTGGAAGACCTGAAGGACCAGGTTGGAGACAGATCCTCCTGGAGATAATCTACACAGCTGCGAAAAGTTGACAGCGATTTGATGGCACATAATCAGTCACTATCACTACCACCTTGAAAGCCAGACCAACAGCCACTTGCTGTGTTTATCTTGCTATAATTCTACTGCACCACATTACTGACCAGGGTTCTATGCAATGCTGAAGCAGGAATAATTAAATGTGTACCCTGAATACCCTTTGGTGTGGTCCTATCATTCCTATTCTAATAGTTACCATGCCCATGACTGAGATTCTTATGATATTGACATATATAAAAAGAAATCATTACCAGTCAGATGATGCAGAGTAAATGCCATAACAATAACAGATTATATAAACAAGTTAATTAGTGAGTGTAATTTCCATCAAAATGTATTTATTTCCTTATTTATTTATTCAATTTCTATAGCCATCCCCTCATATAGGACCCTGGGGAACTATTTTCTGTTGTTAAAAAAAAAAAAAAGATTTACTCAACCTCCCTTTAATCCATTTTAATTTTGTTATTAACGAGAGCTTACCAAAGTATAAGAATTTGGCTATGTGCCAGTAATCATCCAGTTCAATTTCACCTTGAATTTAAAACTTCATTTTGAGAAATCTTAAATATATTTTTATTTATATTTACTAACTTATTTTTTTAAATCAAGTAATTGTATCTACTGTATTTTGCTTTTGCATAAACATTTTCAAACATAATAGAATCTTCTGAGTGGAATAAGCCTGCCAGATTTCAGATAAATAAGTGCAGGACTGTGTGTATAAAATGAATTCTTTCATTAGAGAAGAATTCTGCATTTCAGAAATAGAGGTGTGGCAGTAGGTTGGAAGAATATGAGCAATATATTTTTTCCTGTCCTCCTATTGATCTCCAGTGAATTTATATGCCCACTCAATAATATGTGCCTCTAAGTAAAAAAAAAAAAAAAAAATTGTAAAGTTTCAAAAGTTTACAGAGGGTTTTATATTTGATCGTTTTTCATATGACAGAAACAAAATGCTGTACCATAATAAAAACATATTAGATACTTTGAAGGTGGCCCAAGAACACGGCTGGTTAACACATTGGTTAAACCACATACCGTATTTTTCCGTCAATAAGACGCCCCCATGTACAAGACGACCCCCACTTTTC